CACTTGGCTCAGAGTAAGATTTACCTTTGCCAGTGCAGGTTATTATATATCCATTAATTTCAGATATGACTGACCAGGACAAGCAATTGTGGCAGCTGTTAGCTGTTGGGCATGGGTTCTGGCGAAATTCAACTACGAGAGACCAGACTACAATATAATGCATTATGGAGAAGCATTCCCTCCGCTTTATAACCTTTCCAACATTCCCCATAACCTCCCTCTCTTTGTTAGCTATGGAGGACGAGATGCTCTATCTGATGTTCTTGATGTTGACAGCTTACTTGATGCCCTCAAGTTCCATGATGTTGATAAGCTTAGTGTTCAGTTCATTAAGGACTATGCTCATGCCGACTACGTCATGGCATTTAATGCCAGGGACTTAGTGTACAATGAGGTTCTTGCATTCTTTAAGCGCCAGTTTGATACTTAATGCAGCAAAACTCGGCTTAAAAGTTCATACTACTACTACTACATCTTACAAAAATGCGATGTATTGGGTTATCTATATGATCAAATCTAAGTTATCTAGTTACTGATCAACTTCTTCTTTTTTTCTATTTATTTTTTGGGCTTTAGCAACTTCATTTTGCATGGGCATGATGCCTTCAGAACCCATCTATCCGGTTGGACTCCTGGCCCAGGCTAGGCTGTCTCTGCTTCAACTTAAACTACCTCTAGTTCATGCTCAGGTTAATACAAAACAAAGTAAATGCTGAAGAAAATGAATCTCATTAGCCAGTTGGCATCTAAAATGCTCCCTGCATTATCACAAAACTATGTCTAAATTGAAATTACCCTGTGCGATTGCACAGAATCATGAGACAAAACTAATTTAAAAAAAATATTGGATATGATAAATTAAGATAATGCACAAAGAAATGGTCATACTACTATAAAACGTTCTTTTATAAATAATATTAGATAGATTGCCAATCGAAGCAGGAAAATGAAAATTTTCCTTCACAAATACTTTCTGCTTCCATAATGCAACTAATGAACCAGCCGTCAGATAAACTAACTAAACTTATGCACGTTATACATTAACTTACTCCCCTTACAAGCTTTGATCGAAATTTCCAGATAAGTCGGTCGTCTGAATTGAAAATTTGAGTTTCCAGACTAGCCATGCTTAAGAGAAGTATGATCCCTTTGTTTGAACGCTAAGCTTTGGCAGTCTTGGTATCTACCAGAATTTGCTTAGCGGGCAATCTAAATTCTGAAACTAGAGTGTGAGCCACAAAAGAAGCTTGCCTTTGTTTTGCCTGGAATTAAAGAAATGACCAGGTGATGTTGATCCAACTAAGCTGAACTCTTTATGTTATACACTACATATTAACAATTCAGCACGTTACTTTATAACGACCCCCAATTTAAAATTGTTTTCGGCTGATAATATGAAGAAACAAACTGTTTTATGTTGACAGCGAGGCTTAATTTTCTTACCGCTAGCTGTATAAATAGTTGGAGATCATTAATCCTCGAACACAACCCAGCGAACCAGAAGTAACAGAGCAGAGGGAGAGACCCACGAAGAAAAACATGGGGCGGAAGAACACAATCCTCTTGGCATTGATCGCTGCTTTGTTCGCAAAGGAAGCCTTTGCAACTCAATACGATGTTGGTGGAAGCCAAGGTTGGGATGAATCCACAGATTTTAACACATGGTCCTCAGGAAAAACATTCAAGGTCGGCGATCAACTCGGTACGTTTCTTTTTCCTCCATAATTCGTTAAAGCTTCTTCCTTTACCCGGTTTCATTAAAATTCATAAAACATCAAGTCTTGTCTAGCAGTTTTCAAGTACAGTTCTGGGTTGCATAGTGTGGTTGAACTGGGAAGTGAGAGTGACTTCAAGAGCTGTGATATTAGCAATCCAGTGAACTCCATGAGCAGCGGGAACGATGTCGTAAAATTGAACAACGCAGGCACGAGGTACTTCGCTTGTGGTACCGCCGGCCACTGCGCACAAGGCATGAAGGTGAAGATTGCAAACAGTTGCTGGGAATGCCCCTCCACGCCTTCTTCTTCTTCTTCTTCGTCGTCGTCGTCGTCGGCGTCTTCCCCTGCTTCTACTTCTGCAGCTTCAGCTTCACAAGGACTTACTGTTTACGTCATGCTAATTTTTGCATTGTTATTTGTATGAGGATCTGAAGAGCGGAACTCTGCGTTTGAGGAGACAAATCGGGTTTTAATTTTAGAGTCATGAGTGTTATGTATGATTATCGAGAATTGAGAGCAGAGTTAGATATATATTTCCTCTTGTTTTCTTGTGTATTCCCTAGCTGAGTAAAAAGTTGTTGTGACTTGTGAGATAACTTTGGATCTGGATTGGTTTTCCTTTCTTGTTTTGGGGCCAACGTTATATTATCGTCCACATCTAATGAGAGAGCGCCATGCCTCATGGTAGTTAGCTTCAACGCAATAACGACCAACGATAAATCTCACTTGTTCGTTGTAAATTGTAACTTGTCAGTTATCACACGTGTCGACCGTTCGCAATACCACATCCTTTTTGTCATGCATATATATTGCAGGGATTTATGGGAGAATTTTTTTTTAAAAAAAAACTACTCCAAATAAAACAAATCTAAAATCTTTTATCTTTATAAGTTAAACTACAAGTTTTTTCGTCGCTCTTTGCATCATTGCATGGATTGTTAATATAAAATATAAGAAACTTTTAAAAATTAGTCATTAAATTATTTTTAACTTTCATCGATTGAGATTATTAAGATCAATTAAAAAATATAATTACAATAAAAACACATTACTTGCCATTAATAATAATATAGTTTTTTTTGGTATTTTTGTGCAAATGGACGAGTGTACATTTGCAAATTTTTTTTTTTTGGGGGGGGGGGGAGAACGAAGGGCCAGGCTTCAGAGCGCTTCAGAGCAGTGACCAAATGCAGAGTTTCATGCTCCTGTTACGAGCCACACCGAAAAAGTGCGATATAAAGAGAGCGATGCAATGCCGGAAGGGACGAGTCTGATCAACCACGTGATGGAGGCCGCTTCAGGGCCTCATTTCTCCGGCCTACGCCTTGATGGCCGCAGTTCGTCTCTACCTGCTTCATACTCATCTCCTGTCCGTCGTTTCTCTGCTTCTGCTATTGATTGCTCAACCTTAGCCCCTGATTCTCCTCACAAACAGCCTTTCGTAATCGGTAATTTTCATACTTTTCGCTACATCATGAGTGTTGATCTTTCTAGGCGTATTGCAAAGAATTCCGTCAGTTGTTTCTGAAACTAATTGTCCTTTTTAAGTTTTAACCATGCATGATATCCCCCCCCCCCAAAAAAAAAATCATTCTCGTGCTGACCGGTTTCGCGCCACATTCATTTCAATTCCATTACGGTGTTGGTGGATTTAATGTATAGGAGTTTCGGGAGGTACTGCTTCGGGTAAGACCACTGTATGTGACATGATTATCCAGCAGCTTCACGATCATCGAGTTGTGCTCGTCAATCAGGTTTTCTGTCTTGGCTTTCTTTCCTGGCAACTTTTTGGTGTAATCACTAATCAGTTTGATATTTATCACACGAGGAAAATTATATTCTAACGCTTTTACTTTTCTGATCTGTTTGATTTGCGTGGTTTTTAGGATTCATTTTATCGTGGTTTGACGCCTTCAGAAATGGAACGTGTGCATGAGTACAATTTTGATCATCCCGGTAATCTATATATGTATATACATATTTTTCATACCGGATATATGTATATATATTTGATTTATTAGCATTGGTCGTGTTTAGTTTGTATGAATTTATTCAACTACTTGGCTGTTCTGTTATTCTGCTTGTTGATAGAAGCCGGCTTCTTGATTCCATCCCTTGCTAATTGGTAACTACCCTTGGTTTTCCTTTTAGACGCTTTTGACACCGAGCAGCTTTTAGATTGCATGCGAAAGCTCCTAGGGGCCACAGCGTCCAAGTCCCAATTTATGACTTTAAGAAGCACCAGCGCTCTACTGATAGTTTTCGGCAGGTATCAAGCCAAACTCATGTTGAAGGATATGCTTGCATTTGGTAAATATTAAATATGATATCTAGAGTTCTGGGGCAGGTAGATGTTTAAGCATGTCAATTGCCTTTTTCTTTCCCAAATTGCTTGGCTTGACTCTTAAAAAATCTTCCTTCATCGATGGAATACGCAAAGTTCCTTCATTCATTCCAATTCGAATTATCTATAGTCTTTAATTGTGTATAAATTTTCGTTATGACCATTGTACTCTGGACGTCCACTTGTCAAATCACCAGGATGCCTTAACATATATTGGACATATACTGATGCACACTTGTTGATCTCTTGCCATATTTTATTGGCACACAAGTTTAATAACTTATCATATTGTTTCATTTCACCTTTTAGCTTTCTGGATCTCTGTTTCGTTTTTCTTGCTTTCCCTTTGCTAAGTTGTAGTTGACGTTATTTGATAGGTCAATGCTTCTGATGTCATCATATTAGAGGGAATTCTTGTTTTCCATGACCATCGTGTACGTGATCTGATGAACCTGAAAATTTTGTTGATTCAGGTTTGATCCATTTCTATTTTCCACCCTACTTCCTAATGATGAACCTGAATATAAGCTTTGATTGCTATAGCAGAGCATGGTTTCGGCTCAATGCTTTAATGGCTTGTGTTCTGAAATGTGTGGGCATTAATGCCTAGAATGCTTCATATCGTACTCTGTTAATAACTGTCATGACGCATTTCCGAGTCTATAAAGGTTTAAGTTTACCATCAATTTTATTTCACATTCCAATTGGCTAGATCATAGGGCCTTGTCTTATGAAGAGTCCTTGTAATCACTTATGTATTCGGAATAATAAACAAAATAATTCAAATCTTTTCCTTTTCTTTTTATAGGTAATGATAACACCACTGATTTGTCTGATTCTCGGTAAAATTGTATTTGTTCATTAATTTCCTGTAGATGCGGATGTAAGACTTGCTCGTAGAATTAGACGTGATACAGTTGAAAGAGGTAGGGATGTAAGCTCTGTTCTTGAACAGGTAAGCCCAGTATTTGAATTAGTATTTTGTTGCCATTGCCAGGGATAGAATCTTCTATTTTTATAAATGTTTTTATTTTTGCTAAAATTCAAATATTTCAATAGAACCATAATTTCATAGTCCTCAAGAAAGTGAGTTAATCACAATTTATTGTGCCTAAGGTGCCCAAATTTTGATTCATGATTTTCCACTGCAGTATGCAAAGTTTGTCAAACCTTCTTTTGATGATTTTATTCATCCATCAAAGAAGTATGCTGATGTGATCATTCCACGAGGAAGTGATAATCATGTTGCCATTGATCTGATTGTACAACATATCCAGACAAAACTTGGTCAACATAATCTGTGCAAGATATACTCTAATCTGTATGTTATTCAGTCAACATTCCAGGTAGTGATGTGCTTCGATGGTGAGAGCATCACCTTAATAACCAATTTTTATTCATCACTTTCAGACATCCTTACTACCCTCAGAAGCAGACTGTTATGCCTCTTTTATAGAACATATTAAAGAATTATCACTAATCGTATTCCTATTTTGTTTTTCTTCCTGAATGTAGAAGGAAAAGAATATGTTCTGATTCTTAAGCTTTACTTGTTTGCATTGTCAGATCTTTGATGAGTTTATACAAGGAACTGTAGTTTCGGAGTGCAGAATTACTTGTTCTACGATAAACAATAAAAGAAGTAAGATTAAATCGGAGTTGGATTTGTCATAATTAGGTAAAGAAAATAGAATTTTAGGGTAATCAATTTCAGAAGCCATGTGCTGTCGCCGGAAAGGGTAAAGTCACATCATATAGATGCACAGATTATGACTGAAGAAAGTGAAAAATCCCTCCCTGGTTCCAAGAATGAAAGGAACGTAGGTGATAGTAGTTAATGGTAGAGGTCGCAATTCTTTTTCCTGCTTACAAGCAGTAAGATGCTGCAATGAGTTGTTACATCTATATCTGATCATTCACCATTTATGCTGATAAATTTCAGATTCGAGGAATGCATACATTGATTCGTGATCGAGACATATCAAAGCATGATTTTGCTTTTTACTCAGATCGACTTATACGGCTGGTACTCCATGCCTCATAGCTCTGCCTAACTTTTATTCTTGATTGGTTTTCGCTTCCTTAATACTCAGAACACAGGACATGACTGCCTTTCTTGATCTTCATTATCAGGTTGTTGAGCATGGCCTTGGTCATTTGCCGTTTACTGAAAAGCAAGTAGTTACTCCAACAGGTAATTATGCATCTTTGCCATCACATGTGAAGTTTTCCGTCTTCATTTTTTCTTCTCTTGCTTTGGGAATGGGAATGATGCTATGAACAAAGCAACATTTCTAGTTAATATGTAATGGAAGCAGATCTACATCTCTTTCAATCTTTTTATTGTAAATTTTCATATATGACAAGCAATCTGTAGACTTAGAATTCCACTTTATTTTGCAGGATCTATCTATACTGGAGTTGACTTCTGCAAGAAACTGTGTGGTGTTTCAATTGTTCGAAGGTGAGCTTTGAACTGAGTATTAATTTTGGCAACCCCAATATCTAAATGATACACTGCTAATAGAAATACAACTAAGCAGGTAATATGCAGTATTCCTGTATGCAGTTAGATTATTAATCGTGGGTTTTCATTGTTAGTGTGTTAATCATGCAGTGAGCATTTTGAATCTTGATGCTAAGCTAGAATCATTCGCTGTTGCACTCTGTTTAGGCAGTTCCTCTAGAGATGAATATTTCTCCTTGTTTTTTTTTTTTTTGGCATGATAGTGGTGAGAGCATGGAAAATGCACTACGTGCATGTTGCAAGGTATTAAAATTGGGAAAATCTTGATTCACCGAGATGGGGACTATGGAAAACAGGTTAATAACTCCGTTTTTGGTCAAATTGACCTCCATTAAACTTTGTCTCTTATATTGGTTCTAAAATTGTACACGCGTGATTCATATTTAACTGTGAATATTTTGCTCCTCTGAGCAGTTAATATACGAGAAGCTTCCCATGGACATTTCAGAGCGTCATATTTTGCTTCTTGACCCTGTCCTTGCTACAGGTGCTCTTCTACTCTCGATAATTTGAAACGTCCTTCCTTTATTTATTGTCCACCTTTACTGTGTCATATTTGTGTATGCTTTCCCTCCTGAGATATTTACGACCAGCAAATAAAGACCACATTTTAATTTCATTCATCTCGATAATCTGGTTGATATTACCCAGTGAATTAACTAACTTTTTCACGATTGACTTTAGGCTTAATGCTTAATTTATTGACCTGCATGAAATTTTTCAGTTGTGGATAGTCGATTTGCTAGAATCTTTCCCGTCTAAATGTGTAATGGTTACTGAAAGCACTGAAAGTTTACACTGTTCTGGCTATTGAAAGCTGATATTGATAACTTGAATTGCAGGCAATTCAGCGAGCCAAGCAATTGAGTTACTCGTTCAGAAAGGAGTTCCGGAATCCCACATAATATTCCTGAATCTCATTTCTGTGAGTTTCGATGCCATTTTTATAGATGTGATCATAATTATACTTTTTCTTCCAGCTCCCGATCTTAATGGACTCTTGTCGAAATCAGGCACCCGAGGGAATCAAATGTGTGTGTAAAAGGTTTCCGTCCTTGAAAATTGTAACATCTGAAATTGACATTGGCCTAAACGAAGAGTTCCGTGTCATCCCTGGAATGGGCGAGTTTGGTGATCGCTACTTTGGTACTGATGATTGATCTTGCAGTCGTAAAACTAATGATGACCTTTGAGGTAGCTGTTATCTTTATTATAGAGAATCAACAGCACTTAGCAGCATTTCTGGTTGACTACGGTCATGGTGCATGATACTATGATCACTCTCCGCTTATACATTTATTGATGTTGATAAACTCTGTATAAATTCTGCTTTTTTCCTTTCCCCCCAACTCTAATATTCCTTTCTGCTAATAGCCAGGTGATGTGGAAAGCATTATTATTAATGCTTTTCCGATGCCAACCAGGCAGCCGGATGAGTCGATCGGTGAACATATTCAAACTTCGTGCTGTATTGTTTATTTGTTTTAATCATTGAAGGTTTCTCTGCGTGTTTCAAAAGCACGCAAGCTTGCCTCAAATAATTATTTTCTTCCTTTTTTTCTAATGAAAACCTTGAGTAAGTTTTACTTAATGGACATTGGACAACGCGACCAATTTTCGTGGGGTGTGGCTAGAACTTTTTCATCTGATTGTTTTAAACATGGCTGTCGAAAAGGATGTATTAAACGTATTATTCTCTTTTTTTTTTGATGAGTTAAACGTATTATTCTCTAATAAATACAAAAGATATAAAATAATAAAACCTCGAGATTTAAGCTGCTCAAAATTTTAATAAAAATACAATAAATATAGCGTAAATCCCCCATTTTACTTTTGTTTTTTTTTTGGGCCAGACATTTTACTTTTGATTTGCTAAAAGTACTCTGTAATATGTGATGTTAGTAGCCATATGATTTTAATATATATGATATCTTGCTGATTTGTTTGTAATTTAATATGATTTATAAAACAAAAAGGATTTGAAATTCAGAATATCCACCATTATTATTATTATTATTATGGTTTTTCGGGTTTAGATTTTGTTTCGGTCAAATTGTGGGCCTGAAATTTTGTTTCGATCGATTAGCTTAGCCATTTTAAGTTTTCTTTCTTAAAGCCAGTTTGTTTTATTGATGACAGCGCATTTCAGGCTGAAAAAGATACAAGTACACCGTCCTTCTTCTTCTTTTTTTTTTCCATGAAAAAAACAAGCGTTGAGGACTTGACATGAATCTGTTGCCAGCCTAGCCCTATATTCATTGATGGGCTAGGGCATCAATCGGTTGCCGGCCTAGCCCTAATTCGTGATTGGCCAGGGAATAAATCTGTTGCCAGCCTAGCCCTAATCGTTGATGGGCTAGGGAATAAACCTGCTGCCAGCCTAGCCCTAATTCACTGATGGGCCTGGTCCAAGCCCAAGCCTGAAACAATCAAAACAACCACGGGATATTATTTAATATTTATACAGCGTGTCCTGCTCACCGTTATCCATTCCCGCCTTGCAACTCAAGCAGGCGACTTCAGGTTCAGGTACGACGGAGGTATGAGCCTCTTCCTTGTCTCAACCCGGCCTTCCTTTCCTCTCTTCACCTGCCACGCTACCGCTGCCTTGCCCACTCACCCTTCGTCGCCGCCTCCTTCTTCTCTAACCTTGCCGTTAAGCTCTAGTACATCCTCACAGCCTTCGCTCACTTGTGCTCTTCACTGCCCGCACTTTCAATCGTACGCTTTACTCTCTTCCTCCATTATCTGTTACTTAAATTCACTCATAATACGGAATTTTTTCTCACAGTCGTGATTTTTCAGTTGCTCAGGGTGCACGCACGAGCTCAATCTCCATCATCCCATTATTGTCGACGAAGCCGCCAATTTCTTTGAAAAATATGGAGTTTCGGATTTCACATTTGATAGTTGCAAGCTGGTATTTCCGTTAGTCATTCGCTCCATTAACAAAATTCTTGCAATTTTTATTTCCTCTTTCCTTCCTCACACTTGTTATCGATTCTAATGCTTTTTACAAGTGGGGTTGGAGATGCCGTGCAAAACTGGCCGTGCGCGGTTCATCAACGAACCCTCTCATCGGACTTTATGAGGAGGGTACTCATAACGTAGTTGACATTCCGGATTGCAAAGGTCCGTGAACCTGATTTATTCGTTTTGCTTTGCCGTCACCTCTTGGTTAAACATTCTTAATGGACATTATTAACGTGTTTATTCCCATGCCTTCCTTACGCAGCTCATCATCCTAATATTAATGCTGCCGTGGACCTGCTTAAACGAGGTTTTCCCTTGTCATAGTCGACTGGATGTCCATTTAGCTGATTTTCAAGTTGCTTATATCTGTTCTCAATGCTTTTCAGGTATTACTGAGGTGGAAGTTCAGCCATATGATGAAGATGAGGGTACTGGCGATTTACGATACGTTCAGGTGAACAGTTATTAAACTGGCTACGGTAGATGCTGAATTGGCGTAACAATTTAAGCTGTCAATTCTTTGAAAGTTAATCGTTGACGGGCGTGTGCAGATGGCCGTTACAACTTACAACACATCTCTTCCTGCCGCAGAAAGATATAAGAACGGTGACTTTATTCAAAATAATGCAAAATTTGGCATTTCCTTTTCAAATTGTTATCCATTATTTAATCTATAGACTTAAACTATTTCAGGAAAAGTACAGGTCACTTTAGTTTGGAATTCAAGAAACGAAAATTCACCCAGGTCGGACAAACTGACTGCATTGGCAAATGTAAGCTGGGCATCATCTTTTTCCCCCCCTCTCTTCCTCTATCAGTTTCTCTGACCAAGATGGATTCTTCTCTAGCCCTCTGTCTCTCTCTCCCTCTCTCGCGCGCGCGCACACGCCCGCACGCAAAGTGATTATTTGATGTGATTGATTGCAGTTTCTATGGAGAAATGGTGGGCCAAGGAGCAGTTTCCATTTAATTCACTCTGTGTGGGCCAATTTCCAGACTTCCACAAACAATGTGAGTTTATACTGTTACTCGGAGACAAAATGATGACTATTGATGAAATCGGAAGACGTCTGCTGAAGTTGGGACTACGTCTATTTCTTGTTGAATTTATTTTGCTCAATTAAAATTCGTTCCTGTAAAACATTGAATAACTTAAAAGAGCTTTTCCCTTTTGCGTATCCTATGGCTTTGGATGCCATATATTATCTTTACCATGCTTTAAATTAAAAGTCACGTTGTTGCGTTATGGCCGAATCGTCAACATTTTTGTTTCTTGCCGGAACATAGTACTGTTGTCCTAGTTTAATGCAGTGAAAAAGGACCAAGATCTCATTATCAGATTTTGTTTCATTGTGACTAAATGATGCTGGACCTGGAACTTGGCATTTCTTTGAAAATGATAGCATGTAGACGCGAGGCATATGAGAATAATGTGGATATATACTTGTTTCAGGCGCAATTGTAATTTGTAGCATGTGCATGTGATATTTGCTTGGAATTTCCGAAGTGTAGACCTTTCTTAATTTTTACTAGACAGTATCTGGTCTAGTTTCACACATGCATCATAGCCATTTTCACGGGATTCATGCCTTTTGGATGCTTCCTTGGTAGTGCAGATCATTTTTGGGAATAGATGGAGACATCTTCTTGGAGAAAGAGATTTTTGGGAACATGTTGGTGGCATTGATGTGTCCTTGGCTCCTTCCAGTTTTGGCCAGGCAAACACACGGGTGAAGATCCTGACTCAGTGACTTCTAGTAATTTATTTTGTAATCAGCGAATGCATGTAATTGATGGGGAAGAGAAGCTAGATCCTTGAAAACAAGCTTTTATGTTTGCACTTTGGTGTCCACTATACTTTTCTGCACCAAGAGTCACCATCTACTTATTCATGAAAGCAATAAATTTTTCATGCCTTGCTTGTCTAAATTACTGACTTTTGGGCTTTTGTGTTGCTTGCATATGAGCTTTGGGTGGTCATTCTTATAAGAAATTGGCAAAATATTAATTGGCAACACCAATCTAAAGTTGCTTGAGGCCTAAGAGAATCCTAATCACTTTGGCCTGATTTTCTTTCTTCCAGGCTTTCAATATCTTGCTTAAGAAGTTGCAGAAGTATGTTCCATATGGATCATCTGTTGCGGATTTATATGCTGGGGCTGGGGTCATTGGTTTGTCATTAGCGGCTACTAGGAAGTGCAGGCAAGATATGGATGGTTTTGAACTTCTAAAATCCATTTTAGACTGTTACTTTGTGTTATATTAGGATAATATATAGTTTTGGTCGTTGTCTTGCAGATCTGTAAAATGCATTGAGATTAACAAAGAGTCAAAACTGTCTTTCGAGAAGACGGTTGATCGCTTGCCTGCAACCATTGAGAGTAGCATTACTTGGCATCATGCTGATGCTTCAAAAGTCAGTACTGGATATCTAAAACCTTGTCATATGTTTCGTTTATCAACTCCCGAAATTTAAGTGTTCTAATTTATATGAGTATGATGATTAAAACAAATTATGGTTTGCATTTTTCTTGCATCAATCTGAGTAGATATTTTCATGTAGTCTTGTTATGTCCAAGGACAAGAGAGAAAGAGAGAGCCTGAAGTTTTGTAGCTTCTGTCGGGGTCATGTGTTGTTCAAAACTGACTTCATGAATCATTTGCAAATTGTATAGGAACCTCTTTCTTGGCTTGTGGGCTCAGATGTTGTTGTCATTGATCCTCCCAGGAAAGGACTAGACGCATCTCTTGTTGATACATTGCAAAATATATCATCAATAGAGCGTAGAGTGCTGTCATCATCCGAAAGGTTGTTCTTTCAGTAGACTTATGAAGCTTGTTCATATTGAAAGTATTGCCATATGCCAGTTACTGACTCAAGTTAAGTGCAGCTCGAGCTCAAGAGTCAAGGAAGAGAAAAGACCTTGGGTTTTGCGTGCTAAGGAAGCTTCGGTCCAGGTTGGAAACAAGGCACCAGAGGATAACACCACACAGTCACTGCCACAAACCCTCATATATATAAGTTGTGGATGGGAAAGCTTCAAAGAGGTACTTACATTCATGAATTTTTATTGGTAAGCTTGCTCGACCTTTCTCTTAGTTATCTAATGTTAATGCAACAAGCTGTCAACAGGACTGCAAGGCATTGTTGTCTAGTAAGGCGTGGCACTTGGAGAAAGCCCATGGTTTTAATTTTTTTCCTGGCACCCAAAGGTACTTATTGTATACCTTCTTTGTACCACTCCTCAGTTTCCTTTATTTATTTATATTAAACAATTTGGATTGCACTGACAGTTTCCTTGTCCATACCCAAGCCAAAAAAGAACAAGAAGAAGAAAAGAAGGAAAGAAAAAATTACTGAATGACGAGGAAATTTTGAGGTTGAGTAATTATTGAGGTAGACGAACGTATCTTTTATGAAAGTGAAAGACATGTTTTGGAACTATACCTTGTTGTGGATCTGGCTTGGTTTGGGCATAGTCCAGTAGGCTTTTTAAGTCTGCATTCATTTTGATCTGTTATTAAAGTCAAGTAGTGACCAACAAGAGTTAGTCCAATTGGTAAGGAGTCGGTTTATAATCACAAGGTTGTGAGTTTGAACCCCGCTACTGATGTAAGAACTTTGTTAGTGAGTGATCTGTAAATACTTCTGTAAACGCTCTCTAAGACTATAAGCATACTCTGGCTTTAGTGAGCTCTTGGGACCAAGCCTATCTAAACTTTTTTGTACCCAAAAAAAAAAAAGTCAAGTAGTGGTTAAACCCATGCATAAAGCCCAGAATTAAGCCATATTTCTTTAATAAAATAAAATTTAGCCCAAATATGTGTAATAAACTGAAGCAAATTTAACATGCATCAGGGATGCTTGATTGAGTGAGAGTGTGTGTTACTTTCAGGTGGTGAATATTCTCTTGGCTTGTTGGTTGGGTAGAAGTTTGAATGCAAACCTTTTGCCACCTGAGAGATGTCCATAGACTTAGTCATTAGATTAAGCATTTGAGAAGCTGGAATTTTAAGAAGCGCAACTACTACTTTATTGTTTTGTTTAGGTTCCTAGAGGTAGTGCACTTCCCTTTTCCATTGAAAAATGCATGCTTTGCAGTGATGCGCACTCATCAACTTAGATGGTATTATAGTATTAATCGTATAGCTTTCCCTCCCCTCCCCTTCTTTCTCTTTCCCCACAAAAATGAACAAAGTAAAACAAGCATGGTAATATGTTCTATCTGCCATTTCGACACAGCATTGAAGTTTTAGCAGTATTCAAGAGGGGCCATCGGAAAGCAAAATCAGGAAAAAAGAAAAAGAAGCGATTGTAAGAATCAGCGGGACATGACATAAGCTTGTGCTTCAACTGGACCTGTGGTTGCGTTCTCAACTGTGAGTCAGCAAGGTTCGTTTCCATGAAATGAACAAATTACAAGTGTAGTTGCAATCTGGAAGGGAAAGATACAAGTGTAGTTGCAATCTGGAAGGGAAAGCTGTTATGAGCTTTTCCTTTGTCTCGTGTCGATGCTGGTAGAAAAGGCCGTTTTGTTTTCAAAGGAATAGTATAAAGTTACACGCCGCTGTTGTATGTTATTATCCGTCTCTCAGTTCAGATCAAGTAATGCCAAACTGGGGGAAACCCTTGAAGATGTATTCCTGAGAAAGCTGATTTTTCAGTTCATTGATTGGATGATTTTCCACTCCTGTTTTCTTCGCCATTAGGCGTTGTCGTTTTCATGCATCATCTTCCAATCACAAAATCAACGATGTGATGCGGGATTGATCTGCGACTTCAACGAAGTATGGATGGTTTTGTGATAAATTAGGGAAAGATCGTCGATTGTTGATGTTTAGCTGCATTTGGTTGATTCAAATTCAATCTATTCTTGGGTTGACTGCTGATACGTGTTCTTGTCTCGGCCAACTTAATTCCGGACACGATGATACAACAAATTTTGACATCAAAGGCTTAATTGGAATATATATATAATGACCAAATAAAGGCTGAATAAAGCATAAGGACCAGATGTTTGTCAGTATGATATTCCTTTATATTTTTTTCCGCAACAATTTGAGTACTACCTATGTTAGGTAAGGTGATTTCTTATTTGCTGTTGCTAAAAAATGTATAATTTAATTTAATCATTTCTATAAGTAAAATTGACCCAAAAAAATGTGAAATTAAAGCTTACTCCACACAGAAAGAATTAAAAAGATACGTTTCTTTATTTACTTATCTAATTATTTTCTAAGAAAAAGGTGAAATTTAATATAAAATCTATGTTGCACAAAAAGTGGAAATAATAGAAATCTAGGGAGATTGGAAATTATAAAGATTAGTTATTGCCCTGTTGGCCCCAAAAAAAAAAAATCAGTTATTACCCAATTATATCCACAGTATTACGGTCAGACAATCAATGAATGACAAATCTTCAGGAGCGTGGCGGGCGCCAAGTGCTTAATTGGGTGGGCACTATAAGCGCTATCTTTTTGAAGTGAATCCAAATGAATTATGCCTTTCCTTTTTCAAGATCTCCACGATTCATTCTGCCTTTATGAGGGGTAAAGGAGAAAGGAATTTCCTTTCAGTCCACTGGCTTCTTTTTCAATGGCGTCCCTTTTCTTTATATATAAACGAAAGAAGCCCTAAAACTTGAAGCCATCAAAGGACGGATTTGGCCTAAAAGTCTGCAAAAATTTGTGCCTTGGGAAGGATGAGAGATTTGGGACTGAGAAGATGGCAGTCTCTCTCTCTTACTGCCGCTTTCTTCATCGTCCTCCTTTGCTTCCTTCTGTTTCACTCTTCTGAATTTGTTCGAAGTGGTAGTCGGAGAAGGATTTTGCTCAAGCCTCCAACTGTAAGCATTATTGTTTAGCTATCTACATACTTTTCTGGGTTTTCTCATATTTGATTTTGCATTTTTCCCACATGATTCGTGAATTTGTACCACTGCTTTTATATGCTCTGTTTTTTTTTTTTTGGACTTTTTGGTCAATAATTATTTGAAGATGAAAGCCTGTTGGCAAGAAAAAACAAGAAAAGAAGAGGAGAGGAAACAAAAAGTTAGACGAAAGCTTTGCTGGACAACGATGAAAATAGAGATAGAGTGGAATTTTGAGACGTGACAGCGCAGAACAGTTATAACCTTATTTTGACATCAGCATCATAATCTGCTCCGTCTGTTATTTCTGTTCCTCTCGTTACGCAAGAACATAAAACGAAAAAGCTTTGTAACATAAAATCCCAGGAACAGAACAGTGATCCAAGAAATGAAAACAACTATTCACCTATAAAATTTCCATCGTATTGGATGTACACCTGTAAATGCGCAACATTTTGGTATGTTTTGATTTGTTCTTAAACCTGACACTGCCTTCCTAACAGTCACACTCAGAAAGAGAAGAACTGGATCAAGTTCTGACAAGAGCGACCATGCCCGACAGAACAGTGATCCTCACAATGCTAGATGAAGCATGGGCAAGCCCTGGATCTATCATTGATGTTTTCCTAAGAAGTTTTAAGGTTGGGGAAGGGACAGAGAGATTTTTGAATCACCTAGTGATCATACCCATGGACGCAAAAGCACTTAACTATTGCAGATCCTTGCATCCCTATTGCTTCTATCCATCCATCTTTTCTCATTATCTTCGCATCATTGCACAACCCACGACAAGCCCAGATGACAATGTGTTCATTTGGAAAAGAAACTACGTTCTGCTCCAGGTTCTTGAACTGGGTTACAACATTATCTTCACGGTAAGATTTTCGATCTTCTTGTCACTTACTTCTCTCCATTTATTTTGTTAAACTATATATCTTTTCTGAGTCGCATGCACTGGAAAACATAATAGTTTAGAAGTTTATAGAAAATTATACTCATATTTTTTAATACTTAAATTTATTGGAATATAGAAGAATATATTGAAGGAATGAAATAGTAAGAAACTCAATGACGCGAATTAAGAAAAATATTGAAAGAATAAGAAGGAGCCCCAGAGAAGTCGCACTCTTCTACTATGTTTATATTTTATACTGATAACTCTAGGACAATTACCTTTGAACTTGAACTGCTTGAACTCCGGAGTCTTGCTTTTGCAGGATGCAGATGTAATGTGGCTCAGAAGTCCACTTTTACACTTTCATCCCCAAAATGAACTCACAATCTCGTGTGATTTCTCAAGTTATGAGCAAAGGGGAGGTAACGTGCAAGATGGGGGACTTTTCTTCCTGAAATCAACAGCGATATCAATTGAATTCTTCAAGTACTTTAATTTCATGAAGGTTCTATATCCAAACTCACGAGTCAACAGGTCCCTCTGTTCGTATATTGTGCAGAATCAAGACGTAGTTGCAGCGTATGGCTTTCGCATTCAGTATGTGAACACAACTTATTTCGGTGAATTCTGCCACCGTAACAGGTATCAGTTTAGGGAGGTTTATAGCATGCATGCCAATTGTTGTGAAGATCTTAGAAGCAAAGTTCATGACATGGAGCTTGCTCTCCATGATTGGATCCGCTTCAGAGCACGTTCTTCAGATAATTATACTTGGAAGCCTACGGCTTTCAGGTGGAGAGCTCCACACAAGTGTCTGATATCATGACATGGATAATTGCCTCTACAGATATATGCTTCCCAACCTACTGTTAATAAATACCAGCAAATAGTTGCAATTGGCAAAGAAATAACATCATATAAAAATGCAATGTGCAAAGATATGAATAATGTTTTTGTTTTTTTTCAATCTTCTAAATCTTAGACAGTCCAGCCAGAGTCAAGCTAATCATTGGTGTTAAACGACTTAGGCCATGGCATTAGCCATTAAGACTTGTGTTAGTGGAAATAGAAACATAGAAATTGCTGCTGTGTAACGAAGAAGCTAGTGACAGGAAATACAAGGACTTACTGATGATCCTTTTTCTTTCGATTGTTTCTTCGACATGCTATGCTATTGACTCAACACCACGAATTATCTGCAGACTTTCCAAGTAACTTGCACATCCCATCCTCTCAAAAACAAACCAAACTTCCACCCGAGTTCCAGCTTCACTATCCTCTCTTCTATTCTGTAATATAAAATTTATAGGAAATCCCTCGTGAAAATAAAACTCAGCGTCAAAACGTGGCCAAAATCAAATTAAGCAAATGAAAATGCGAGACCAATAAGGTCAGCAAAAAGTGAACCTTGGGAGACTACGCTTAGCAGCCTCGCGTGACTAGCGCTTCATCTCATCTTACATTCCTGATGACACCAACCTTCATAATCTATCTTCGGAACCTTTAGAGCGGCCTTTCTCCTCGGGCTCGTTGTCGTCCTCCTCCGCCTGCACATTGCCTGTGGATTTGAAGAAGACGATGTTGGCATAAGCGAGAGATGGCAGATCACAGAGGACAACTCTGTCGACATAGGAGAAGGAGAGAGGTGGTCATATCATGTGTGGCAAGTCTTGGGGACCAAACTGTGACCACATTTCTGGATCTGAATCGGAAAGAAAGTCGATGAAGAGGAGAGAGATCGAACTGTGGAGTGAGGAAGCCATGGACGGGTCCACGACGTCGGGAAAAGATTACGGAGCTCCCTATTATTTCCGTTTGATTGGAGCTCGTCCAGGAACAGGAAAAAAAGACCTGTGGGGGCAAGGGCGAGCCACGGAACCAGGAGGCGAAGCGTGGGTTTTTTCCCGTACACAAGAAGGCAAAAGCCTAAAAACCCATGAGCGATGGGGAAAACATGATGAGGGGTTAGTCCAGAATGCGGCACAGGCCCATTCAAACTAGTCTGTTTGGGCTTGGCCGCTTTCTTCTGTTCAATTGGGCCAAATCTGGGCTGAAAAGTCCAACCAATCAGATCGTTTCTGGGGGGGGAAAAAAACTCAATCTGCATTTGTCATTGTTTTTTCCCCCCGGCAGAAACGAATATTTTGAACCAAAATCCAAAAGTGCGTCTTATAAACTCTAACAACTCCGATGAGAATAGGAAATAATTTAAATTAGTTAAATGACAAAAAAATTAACAACTTTTTAGCACGATTTTTTTTATCAATAAGAATATAGTTAGCGGGGTAGAGATGAGAATGATAGAAAAGTCCAAAGGAAAATAAATAAGAATATTGTTAAAAACGTGTTATGAATGTTTCGTTAAATTTATTAAGCGGTTTACAAGCGAAGCAATTGATTTGTACTTGTGCTTTTTAATTCACAGTATAAAAATACAATGGTTCGGTATTTTTTTTTTAATTATTCCCTTCATGTTTAGTTGACACGAGATAATAATATCAATATAATATATTATGTAAGTATTTAATTATCACCCGTCCCAACTGAACCAGCATGGAAAAGCATAAGCACGCCAAATAGCCATCACAATTCAAACACCATATACAGGGCCCACCATTACAAAATATTAAGTCACAATTCAAACAGACCAAGTTCAATGGCAGGCCCCTAGGGCGCTTCCAAGAGCCAGTTAGAGGCACCGTTACAGCAGAGATAATAATATCAGATATCGTTCCCTTTAACGAAGCAGTGTATGTTCTGGAACTTCCTTTTTGGATCTCAATATAGGTCCATTAAACGTATAAATACCCACACTGACAGGCAAAAGGATTGCGAAGAATCGTGTTTAAAAACTCGCATTGGAAGATGTGAAAGCAATATTGTTTAAACCACTCTGGTGAGAAGGTGAAAAACAGTAAGTTCAGAAAAATAACCTAGAAGATCCGCCCTTGGCTTGGCCTGCAGAAGAAAGTGAAAGGCTGTATATTATAAGGGGAGGGTCGACCACGTTATCTCAGATATCCTCCGTCTTTCCTTATTCCGTGTCTTTGTCCATGCACGCACAAGTTCTTAATATAACGTCGATCTGTGCAATATTCACTAATTAATGACAAGACATATATCATCGGCAAAATTATGTTACCACTGGAAACGTTGCAAGGCGTGAACCAAGTCATTGTTTATTAGTCTATAACTTATATAGATGGTCTGTTTTTCTATTTATGGAGGGACTATGTGATATAATATTGAAAATAGAAAGTTGGCCGTGTACATAGATATGCCTCCAACAACTTTCGTGCTTACTTTTTTGAGAAGGCAAATAATCTTCTTGATTTAAAGAAAATATATAAAACCCCAACAACAAATTAAGTCGGCCTAGCTAGAAACAATGTACTTAACTGGAAAGTGAGGGTCGCTAGCATTTCCTCTATGGTGGTGTAGATCCCCACAAGGGCCACAACCATCTTTGTTTACGTATAACACTTATCCTATGCTTAGGTATGGAAGAATCGAAGAAAAAGAAATTATAGACAAATTTTAATGATTCTGAATTTAAACAAATTAAAAAGATGAAATTATGAAAGCTTGATGAAAGACTAAGAAAAATTAATTAAAATAATTAAATACCACTTCTTCTTCTTTTCTTTTTTTGGGGTCAACACTTCTTTTTTTTTTTAAACTGAGCTCTTTTCCTTTCCACTCCATTTCCCTCTGTACAAACGGACCTTTAATCAATGGATTGACTAATTACGATAAAGCCTCTTTTTCGACCGAAAAGTTTCTCAATCTGGTGGTTTTAATAATGTCTTACGACCGAGTCGAAGAGACGGATTGATCTTGACGAATCTGGAAGATCGTATACATGTGTGTGTACACGCGCGCGCATATAGATATAGAAATTTTGGGTGCCTACGCCGGTTAGCACTAGTTTTTTTTGGGTCAAAGTTGGTTAGCACTAGTTAGAAATAATACTCCTCCTGTCTTTAATATAGGACCCAATTGTTGAGTTGGTTTTGGTCTTAAATATAAAACTCATTTCTCATATTTATCAATTTTCTCTAAATTACCTCTATGAATACTCTTTCAACCATAATTAAGTAGAAGAGGGAGAGGGGTATTAAGAAAGATGATTATGGTGTTTTAGGAAAACATGTCATGTTTCTTATAATTAACTAACTTACCTAACTTTCTTAATTTAATCAAATTAGTTAAATGAGTTGTATATTAAGGACCGAAGGAGTAATTTCTGTCGAAATTATAACTGATAACTAACTGGTTGGCAATTTAATTGAGATTACAGGGGCATGGTTGTTTAATTATAAAAATCTGCCCAAATAATAATGCAAAAGAGGAATCAATTGCCTGCAGGGTGATTAATAAGGACTTGAGTCGCCTGGAAATTTGACAACTTAATAGGAAAAAAGAGATCAGGCCTGGATTAATTAAACTCATTTGATAGGAAAACATAGAATCAGTTAGAAAAAGCAATTCTGCTCGTTATGAAATAAAATTTCCATCGTATATTTGTTTTGCACAGTACAAAATCACTTAAAATAAGCTAATTCAAGCAACCCCGTATATATGATCCTCATTTAATCCCGGGCTGGCTTGAGATTAAAATTAGGAGAGATCAAGCATCCATAGTTTCCACTTTCCACTTTTTTTTGTCCAGCAAGTAGAATGGATCATTAAAGTTAGTAAAGGAGCTTTTACGAAGCACTAGCTCGTATGAAAGGGGATGAGAGAGCGTAGCAATAAAACGAAAGTGATCTGGTGGTGCGTGTTATCTGTTATGTTCCCTAGAGAGAGCATGTGTGTGTGTGTGGAGTGATGGTGGGTGTTCACTGTTTACATAAAACCATGTGAGGTTCACTGCATCAGGAAACGATCCCGCCTTCTTTATTCTTAAACTATGCTAAAAAGCCTAAAAGCATGCATCATTATTAATTAACACCTTACTTTAATTTTTGTCGCCCTATCATAATCTTCGTTTTCTTCAACTTTTGAAGCCTCCGTCCTATGAGGGCTTTTATATATAACCCCCCCCCCAAAAAAACACAATCCTGACCCCGTCATAAACCCAGTTCATTGAAAATTAAAAAAATATATTTTGATTTATTATCAAGGGAGTGTTTGGATAGAAACCAAACCATAGTTTCAGAAGTGCTTTTACGGATTACGAAGTAAATATATGAAAGAGTTACTCGTTTTGCGGAAAAGCGCTTCTGAAACCGCGGTTTTGAGAATGTCAAACACCCCCTAAATATAAAGGAGTTGTTGGGAGCTGATGTAAAGAGTAGAGACGGTGAATGTGCTAAAAATAATTTACCTGTAATTAAAATTAATTAAATGTATATTATTTTCATCTCATTTTTACCTCTCGACTTCAAAATTATTTTTATTTTTATTTTAAACGAATTGACCCTAATTTTCTGCATGTATATATAGGATATCAAATTAGAAGCATCCTTTTTAGATTTAAATTTTAAACTAATACATATATTTATATATATCGGCTTCTTTTTAGTCATATAGAGGCAGATATATGCATTTCTAGGTTATCTGTTCGTCTACTTCCAAAACTACATTGGTTTGAAGTGGTTGATTCTGAAGCGATTGTTTAATCAATCAGAACAGGAATTAGTGGGTTAATCAAATTGATCAGCTGGCTCATTGTTTTTTAAACCGCAATAAAGCTTGCTATGGTACTGATCTAATGCTCTCTAGTTTGATAAACATTTCAAATAAATAAATAAATAAATAACCCACCCCTTCTAGCGCAAACACAAAGCAAAAAGCATACGCGGAAATAAACAACTATCAGTGGAAGTCACTAAAAATTGAATATTTGCTCATCACTAAATAAACCAAAAGACCAGAATATATGAATTAAAAGGATACCTGATCCCCTGGTCCGCAGTTCCTTCGGCTTACGACGTGGCATCTTCTGGGTCATTAGTTGAAAATCAAACTGTTCGACGCCAAAATAATTCGCCATTTACTGAGCTCCTTCATGTAATTACAGAGTAAAAACATTTATAAACACGTGAATGTACATGTTAATACGTGGCTCTAATATCATTACACGCGCACACAGGGATTTAGAAAAGGGGAGAGGGGGGAAGAGGCGGTTGAGCTTTGTTGGATGATACACGCCCAAAAATGGTGATAGCCTGTACACGTGTGAAACTAACTTAGCTTTGTTACGACTAATTCCTGTTACATGAACTAAACACTCTCCTGTCATATTACCCCATCTCTAATATAAGAGTTAGTTAATTAATCTAAATAAATTAAGAAAGTTTATTGAATTAGTTATTTATAATAATTATGTGTTGTCTTTTCTAAAATACCCTTGTTAATTACATGTTAGCTAAAACTATAATTTGATTGAACCTTTAACATATACAACTACTATAAGTCTATAAGGACTATATTAAAAAAATAAATAAATATTATAGACAAAATGGATTGGGATTTTATATTTAGAACCAAATTAGAGGTAATACCACCTCCATTCCTAAATATAAGAGTTAGTTGACTAATTTGAGTAGATTAAATAAATAAGTTAGTTAGTTATTTGTAAGAAATAGGTGTTGTCATTCCTAAAATATCCTTGTTAATTAAGTGTATTAGCTAGATTATCATTATTATAAATACTATTTTGGAAAAAAAAATATAAATGTGAGAATAAAATAGATTAGGGTCGTATATTTAGAATCAAAATAAAAGTCAAACAAAACCTTAAAAACCAGAGATAATATGTTGTAATACCGCACAAAAAATACATGGCAGAGTTCACGGCTATAGGTGGCCAGGGTTGGCCATTGTTAAGCTCTTGTGGATTCCACGCAAGACACACACATATTCGTCAAAAGCATTGGGCTAGTTTACAAAATGAGCTAACGAAGCATTAAAGAGCAGAAACAGAGAATGGTGTTTGAGATTCCTTCTTACGTCAATAATCACGAATCAGCCAACAAAACGTATAGGGACACAGTAGTGATTTATTATTGTATTTGTTTTTGATATCGCGCGGTCGTTGTGTCCCATTCTGCCTCGCTAATTACTAACCAGTCACGTAGCTTTCATTCGTAACGCTTCTCCATATACGGTCACCAGCTTTTTCTCGAAGCTTGTTAATTTAATTTGAACACCAAAATTCTAAAATAATTATACTCATCCGATCCTTAATATAAGACCTATTTCACTAATTTAATTAGATTAACAAAGTTAGGTAAGTTAGTTAATTATAAAAAAAGTGACACATTTTTCTTAAAACACCATAATCATCTTTTTTAATACCCCTCTCCCTCTTTTACTTGATTATGGTTGATAGAGTATCCATAGGGGTAATTCAGAGAAAATTGATAAATATGATAAATAGGTCTTATATTTATGATCAAAACCAACTCAAAAATTGAGTCCTATATTAAAGACCGGAGTAGTAGATCATCAAAAAAATCCCAATCGTTTTCACCCCCTCCCTCCCTATATATATTAGACATATGTTAGAGCTTTTACAAATTAAATTCGAGTAACGGGCCAAAATTAGAATGACATAATCAGCGTCGTTTTCGATCACTGGCTAGGTTGAAAGTGATGGAGAATAAGAACAACAACGTGTAGAAATTCAGTTTCTGCTTAGGCATGATGAACTTTTGATTCGTGTAGAAGTTACCAGGCATTGTTTTTTTTTTTAATGGAGTGATGAGTAACTCAATGATTACCCATCTAATCATAAATATAAGATTCATTTTATAATATAATCTACACTATAAAATGAGCCTTACAAGGAGGAGTACCATACACATATATATGCACAGCACGCCCGTGTCCTATGTTATTTTCCGTCTAAAACCTTCAAAGACCAAGCAGGTAACATTTGCTATATATGGTTCGCCACTTGAATGAATAAAATATGCACAAGATCTTCATGTTTACCCCAATATATATACATACACATATATATATATATCAATTTCATTTAATATAATATAAATATCACAAAAATATAAAAAAAAGATTGAAAATAAAAGTTGACTCACCTGCACTCATCTTATAATACAGAAATTAAATATTATCAGACAAAAATAATAAATTAAGTATTTTTTTAACAAAATAATGTAAATGGATATATCCGATTGTGTTGACAGTATTTCTACGTATCCTTCCCACCCTTCCCCTATATATCTACATAAAAAAAAAAAAATCTAAAAACATATATAGGACAGTATATATTCAAATAATCAGCGAGAACGATCTAACGAATAGTAATAGGCTTGTTTTAGTTGGACGTCCGAGACCGTCAGCAATAATAGTTTGTGACTTTTATTCTCTGTAAGTTGGCATTAAAAAAAAAAGACTTTTATTCTCTGTATGAAAGTGTTTGGAGATTACGAGAATCTTCTGCCTTTTGCAAATACAAGTATCTACTAATGACTGGGCATTAGTATTAAACAATTAAATGTGCACTGCTACTGTTGCCAATATTGTGGGGAATGGAATCTTCGTAACTGGACCTTGCCTTCATTATTGAGCTATTGTGGCTTACGTGCAAAATTGACACCACCGGGCACTTGGTTGGCATAGATATTTGAATTATTTTAACAATTTTATGCAATCTATAGTAAATTAAGTTGGAAAAACTTATAATATCGCCCAAATTGATGAAATCTGTGTGTTAGTATTTTGTATAATTTTTTTTGTAAAAATTTTAATATCACCCAAGTTTTTTTTTGTATAATTTGAATAATTTTAATAATACTCTCAGATACAGTGTTGTTGGCTGGTACTTGATACTCCTCCGATCCTTAATATAGGACCCAATTCTTGAGTTGGTTTTGGTCCTAAATATAAGACCCATTTATCATATTTATCAATTTTCTCTAAATTACCCCTATGGATGCTCCCTCAACCATAATTAAGTAGAAGAGGGAGTGGGGATATTAAGAAAGATGATCATGGTGTTTTAGGAAAAATGTATCATTTTTCTTATAATTAACTAACTTACCTAACTTCCTTAATCTAATCAAATTGGTTAAATGGGTCTTATATTAAGGACAGGAGGAGTAATTAATATGATGCATTCGGTTTTAAAATCTAAATAATTAAAATATGTTGATCTAATGGTAAAAAAAAAAAAGCAGGAAAAAAAAATTCCAAACCGCTAGCACTCACCCGACCCGGGCTGGCTCGTGCACGTTTTAGGCGGGCGATTTTGACTCGGATAAAACATGCCTCTTCATGATTCCATGCGGCGAACTCGATGTGATGCCCAACTCAACATACATGTTTTATAATAAAAAAACCGGGGGAAAATCCTTTAAAAATTGTATTGGTGAAAAAAAAAATCGAATAAATTTTCAAAAAAAAATCCAAAAAATATTATTAAATTTCAAAATTTCAAATCAGGAATTATTAAAAATGTTTTGTCATTTGCTTTTGAATGTAGTCATTTTTTTACGAGTATATTAGTTAATACTAATTTAGAATTTTGAAATTCAACAACAACTTTTTTAATATTTTTTTAAATTTTTATATGGGAAAATATCATCACTTTACAAATTTTGTGTGCAGAATAATTCAGAGCATTAGTGATCTGACTTAATTTTTCCCCAATTTTTTCTATAGATTTCCATAAATATAAGGAAATTGAAAAAATCAATTAAACGGATCAAAATAAGTTGATTTTAGAAATATAAAATTATATTTAACGCCAAATTTGTTTTTAAAAATGAAGACCTATACAAAAATATTTTCCTGAATTAACTCTGGACCTTGACAGCTCAGCCACTGTTTAGAGCAGTTTCTCACTGTGGTGCTTTGAACTTTCTTTGTCCTAAATCATAGTTACTTAGATGAAATTTATTTATCTATTTTTTAATATAAAACTAGGAGCATCTTTCATCATCGATAGAAACTAATTATCTTTTTCTATAGTGTAAAAGTAAAAATCATCCAGAAATGAAACAGAATACTAATTCTGTACGTTTTATGTCTGAAAAATAATTTGAAAAAAATATAAAAAATTACACTTTGATAAGTAGTAGTTATTACCGGTAGTGATAAGTAGTAAGTAGTAGAGAAGAAGAAAAGAAAATTTCTCCAATTTTTCAAAACAAAAAAAAAATAAAAAACACAAAAACAACAACAAACAAACATATAAAAGTTATTTTGGTTTTTCAGTTTTTAAAAATATATTATTATTATTATTTTTTAAAACAATCAACTAAAAACAAATTACCAAACAAGTGTTTTTGTTTTTCTATTTTTAAAAACAAAAGATTATTTTTAAAACAAAAAATCAAACAAACCCTAATTCTCTACGTTTTATGTTTTCATCGTCCGTATTATCAATGGGAAAATCATCACTTAATTGTCTGTTATTCAATTCCATCCTCGTCCTTTTTGGTCCAATAACTTCCCCTCTGGTTTTATAGTAAATATACACTTATTGAATAATTTTCCGCAATTTTTTTTTACAACTTCCGAATGCAATAATACCAATAATAATTAATTAAATGACTAGCACTACTTTTAAAATTTTTCCTTGGTTAAATACTTTTAAATTTTAACAAACACAAGTAGTCACAACCTTTTAATTAGTTTGGAAAAATTGTAAAAGGTTTACCAATGTGTGTGCAAAATTTGCAAAGTATTGTGTATGAAAATTTGTCCAATTATTTTCACCAATAAAACTTATACTACCTCCAGTCTTAATTATAGCACCTCGTTTATAATTTGCAAACGAAGTCTTATAAATAGGACCGGAGGTAGTAATAATTTTTTTAGCACCAAAAACTTCATATTCAACATTAGCCATGATATGTTTTTCTTTTCTTTATATAAAGAAGAGCGAAAATTATTCTGGCAAAAAGAAGAGCAGAAATTATTGAAAATTTCAAAGGGACTCGTGAAAATTGCTCCAACAACTTTCAGCCTTTAACCTGATTGTATTATTAATTAACAACTCCATTCGGTGTATTTTAAGGCCGAAGCCAAAGGGCACAAGGCATTTCCTTGATCAAGCCCTATTTTCCAGTTCTCCAGTTTCTGCCCCGTCATGTGGGCGTCTCTTGTGTTACCTCTCTCCCCTTGATGGCCTCGTCCCTCCATTCTCTTTCTCCCTTCTTTCTTGTCGTCTCTTCTCACGCTCCTTCTGTTCATTCTCAACCTCACCTTCACTTGCCTCCATCGGTAGCACCAGATAGGTTTAGCCTCGCCTAACTTCTTAATTGTTCATTTTGTAACCTTCCTCTTCTGTTACTGTTTCGTTTTTCTTGTTTGTTTCTCTGTTTCTGCGCTTGGCGTTTTCCTTCTCTTGTCTTCCCCCCCTCATGTATGACTTCTCCTATGACCGTTTCCCCCTTCCCTTTCGCGGCCTTGCTTCATGTTCCTGATGGGCACTCCATTGCCTTAGAGCTTCGTTGTCTTCTTTCTCCATTCCGCTTCCTTCAACCCTGTGCATCTTTATGTGTTAATCTATGATCCACGATCGACCCATGATTAAGTTTCGTTGATTTTTCTGCTCGGTTGTCATCTGGGTAAGCATCTTTTCGGAGGTTTCATGTTTATTCAGCCGCCGGTTGAGAAATTGATCGGGATTTACTTTTACATTCGTGTAGAGGCATTGGTTCTTGAATTTTGGTTTACTCCCGAATTGTAAATTGTTTCTTTAGTCTGTCATTTCCCCCCGTTGAGAAGATTTTTCCTGTGATTTAGTCATTTGCTTGTTAGACTCTTGACGGGGCAAAGAATAAGCTTTCCTCTTGCTTCAAGCATCAGATTGAGTGAAACGGCGAATGGTACTGATCAATCTTTGATGAAAGGCCAAGTGTCTGTTAAACGAGTGTATACATGTGTGCTTCTGTCTTCAGAGTTCTTTAATCCCCATATTTCACGCTAGTGATTGCTACTGTGCTGATACTTTCCTGAATACAGATTATTGACTATCCAGGAAAACGAGGCAAAGTGGCTCAGAAATGATATTGATATGACTATAACAATGACCAGGACTAGTAAGAAAACATTGCCTGTCTGGAGCACTGGAAGTAGCTTTAAGGCGAGCAAGAAGAAGAAAGCTATGGAGAACAGGGGAGGTGGTTCCTCAGCTGATGAACCTCAGGATGCAGATTATGATATCCCGTCTCTGAGCGACGAGCTAGAGACCCTGATCTTGGCCAGGCTTCCAAGATCTGAGCATTGGAAACTATGCTTTCTGAACAAGAGGCTTCAAGCCCTTGTGAAGAGTGGTGAAATCATCAAAATCAGGAGAGAAATAGGGTTCAAAGAGCCCAGTGTGTTCATGTTAGCAAGTGGAGAGACCAATTGGTGGGTCTTCGATGAACATTTCGAATCTTGCAGGATGCTCCCCTTTACCCCATCGGACTACAATTTCACACACGGAGATAAGGAGTCATTCTTTGCAGGCTCCCACTTGTTTGTTTCAGGCAGGGAGTTCGATGGAGCTGCTGTTTGGAAGTACGAGGTGGAAACAAACCAATGGTTGAAGGCTCCCTCCATGATCAATCCTAGGTGTCTGTTTGCATCGGCCACCTCTGGTAACTATGCTTTCGTCGCAGGTGGTCAAGACACCACAACTTATTCTCAAGTCCTGGACTCTGCTGAGAAATACAATTCAAAGAGCAAGTCTTGGGAATCTCTGCCTAGGATGAATCGGAAGAGAAAGTCCTGCTCGGGTTGTTACATGGACAAAAAATTCTATGTAATTGGGGGACAAGATGAGCAACAAAACGTCCTGACTTGTGGGGAATTCTTTGACGAGGAAACCAACACTTGGAACTCAATTCCCGACATGTTGAAAGACATTCCTGTGTCGGTTTGCCGGTCCCCACCACTTGTTGCTGTCGCCAATAATCAGCTTTACGCGCTCGACGCCTCCTCCAACGAGCTCAAAACGTATCTGAAGCGAACCAACTCATGGAAGAAGTTAGGAACAGTTCCAGTGATGGCAAGTGCTCAAGGAGGTTGGGGCGTGGCCTTCAAGTCTCTGGGGAATGAGCTGCTCGTAATCGGTGCGACTGCTATGTGTTCTTCTGGGCGTGGCTTGACGATCTACACTTGTTGCCCTGATCCTTCCGCTGAGGAGCTCCAGTGGCGGCGAATTGAATCTGGCAACGCCAAGCTTAGTCCCTTCATTCACAATTGTGCTGTGAGGGTAGCTTGAGGTCTGATTATTATTAAGGAATAAGCAGAGTGGCTTTGGAATCTCCCAATAAGATTTGCAGGACTTTCAGGACTTGTCTCCACGACTCGTTCGATCTTTGTTGCTGATGTGACTTGATGCATCTATATGCCGTCGGTTCGATGTTAGGGAGCTTGTTGATGTAAACTTTTTCGTTTAATGTTTTGACTCTGCAGATTTTCAGCTTCAAATGCTGCTGGATTTTATTTTTCTTTTCTATTTTGCTTCGGCTGGTCCTTTCTCTGGTGGAGATTTCTCTCAGAATTTCTCCACAGAAAAGCATCGAGCCAGTTATCATAGTCACCACCCACCACTAATGTGGCTTTCAGCCTTTCTGTGGGTTTGCCACCTAACCTAATCATTGTTCACTCCCACAAATTAGGTTCGTTTTCTCCTGCGCAAAATCTTAAAAATCAATTCAGAATTTCGTTATTGAAGCCTCCTGGACCCCAAACGACGCCGTAATCCGACTTTCTTCACTCCTTTCCGCCGCATTAGAAACTCGAGATTGTGGAGAGCTGCCAAGGCTCTGATCATGTGCCCATTAAATCTTCACTGCCAATTCTACTTTCTACATCTGTAATTCAGCAACATCAAGCCATATGTGATCTACTAACCTGAATTCATCAATTTTCATTTTCTGACAAAAATGGGCTTATGAATTCCCATTCAAGGCCCATCGAATTTGGGATTTACTGGTCACAGCACGTTGCTCTCACCTGTCATGTTACGAGTTGGAAACGGCCCATTCTTAATAGACGTTTATTAGGTTCTTTTTTCTTTTTGGGAGCAAAGTTAGTCAAAGTTATTTCAAATTATTGGAAAGTGACGATAAAAGTTGAATTTGAATCAAAGTTCTAATTTATTTTCAGATTTTACCTTCTGTACCCAAAAAAAATTGCATTCGAGTCAGCGTTATGTACATCTATGAGAGTGATTAATTTATTTACGCTTTAACAAAATACATAAATACCAAATTAAAAAAGAAAAGAAAATGCATACGTACCTTCAAAATGATTTTTTAAAATCCTAAATAGTCTAGAAATATGTATCATTCCCTTTTGTTTTAAATGTAACATTCAACAAATGTGACTCGCATTTCTGTCGCCAGGAAAAATAAAATAAAAAGGCGACTCGCATTTCAAACCACTGCAGGGGAGATTTAGGTGAATTTGCGCCGTGTCCGGCTGGTCGCGGCCTGTTTGGTCGTTTAATATGTGCGCGCGTGGATAACATTTCGAACCGAGGCAGCAGAAAAAAGGAAAGAAAATGGCGGGAGAGGGGCAGCTCAAGCAAAGCACATCTCCAGGCCGCCATTCTGCTACTGCTTCTCCTTCTATTTCTCTTCCAGGGAAGAACGATGATCCCAAACAAAAATGCTGGAGGAAGCAAGCGGACGAGAATCTCAAGAGGCTTCACTCTCTTCTCTTCGGGGCCGATCTTGCCCTTCAGAGAGATGATTTTGAGTCGGCGTACATCCTCGGGCTTCGCCTCATCGGCTTTCTTGACTCTCACTGCCACTCCGATGTCGATGAAGCCTATATACGTCCAATTCGCCGTGAAGTCCTGGGGAAAATCGACACCGCTCGTCGATCCCTCATTCCAGACTCCGATCGGTATATTTATTTTTTTCCTGTCTTCATCTCCAGTAAACTTCGCCTCTGTTGAGCTTATGAAATTCGATGTTTTCTAGTTTAGTTACTCATAACCGGTCAATACGGTGCTTTCGCACGTCACAGAGGTCTTAGAGGTTAATTTGATATGTTTTTGTTTTGTGAGAGCCTAACGATTGATTGTGGGGTGCTGATAATGTTAAAGTGCATACGGTTATGATTTATTTGCTGGTTCATCGTGTCATATCATTTTCCGAACCTAATGTGATCACTGCTTTCTGTGTACGGAGTGAACTAGGAAATAGGACTATTTTAAATTTTCTTTGGAGCTGATGCCTTGAACGGATACTTCAGCAATTTCCTGTCAATTCTTCTGATTAGAATATAGCTCATGTCAAGTTGTGTTCTGATGCTAATTGTGTCATTCCCTCAGCCAAGCGTTTGAACAAGCAAAAAAGCCTCCAGGGTGTATTTTTGGCAAAACGGGAGATATTGACATTGGGAAAATTAAGAAGTCGAAGTACTTCCAAGCTCTTCTCAAGGAGTCCAAAGAAAAGGTGGAGAATCGATCGGTTATACTGAATATATGCTGATAAACGGTCTCCATCTATTTTTAGGCACAGTATTTAAAATCTCTCTCTCTCTCTCTCTCTCTCGGCTTTTTTCTTCCTAATTCCTTCTCTTTTCTGTTGACCTGCAGGTTGCGGATGCTCTGTTTCTGTGTCAATTTCTTGTGTT